GCAAATGATGTTTCTCACAGCAATTTGCTGCTTTTCATTGCTTTCCATCCAAGTCAATGGAGGTCACACAGGTTACACAGGCTGTTCACTCAGGATGTATTATTGCTTTCTGTCTGCACTTTAATTGTTTGGCTGATGCCCATACATTTTTCACACCTTGTTTAATCAGCATCTCTAATCTTCAGCATTGCATTATTAAGATGAAGTGTCATGTTAAAAAAAAATAAAATAAACTTTTACAAAGGATGAAAACATCTGCTTTGGATGGATACAATATATGAGTAAAAATGAAAAAGGGTTAATTCACCAAGAGGGGAAAATGAAAATACTGTCGGGAGAAGGAGAACTGAAGTTTGGCTTTATGATCAATGGCTAGTGGGCTAATAGACTCACCCAAAGATTTACGGGAAATTTCACTGGTACAGAATGAGGGAGGAAAACACCAAACAACTGAAATAAATCTCTTTTTCCTCTTATTTCAAAGCTAATATAACTGTGCCAGTATCAACTCAAATAGCTGGAATATAAACATGACGGTGAGTAAACGATGGCAGAAATGTCATTTTTGGCCAAAATGTGTATTACATAAGAACAAATGAAAGATGTGAGTGCAGCGGTGTGAAAAACATCAAGCCCTTGAGTTGATTTGATGCATGTCTGTGCTGTTTTTGAGTCAATCAGGCGTGAGTGCTCTCACAGTCAGTTAACCGCTGAAAGTACGGTCAAATGCATTAAAACTCAAGCAGGTGTAAATGATCACAGATTAGACTAAAACTGTGGTATCTGGTTGAATATAAAACTTCATTTAATGCAAAATTGCAGAATTATGGGTAAATAGTGTTAGTCAGCAGTTAAAAGCAATTTTCTGATTTATACACTGGTCTTTTGTAAAAGGAGGAATCAATGTTTAATAATGATTAGGGACATGCAGGCACACTGCTGGAAGAACAACGGCTTAATTATGGGCTATTTTACAGCGCAGAGGTACAGCAGCTATCAAATGAACAATTAGTTCATTTCTGGGCATCTCACTGGTGCTTTTACATGGAATTAAATTGCCTATTTTTCTATTTCCATGCATGAAATATATAGGCCATTATTTGACTTTTAAATGTGCATTGATAAAACACAGACACACTTGTAGGATTTGTCTGTTTTACAGCTTCTCACAATTCTGACATGAATGCACAAAGTACAGATGATCTCCAGAGATGCATCTTAAACTGCTAACACATTCGGGAAAGAGTGTATGAGGAACATAAGGTTTTAACGGGAGAAACTGGGAGAGAAATGCAGCATTACATCACTTGCTCAGCAATGGATCCTCTGCAGTGAATGGGTGCCGTCAGAAGGAGAGTCCAAACAGCTGATAAAAACATCACAATAATCCACACCACTCCAGTCCATCAATTAACATCGTGAGAAGTGAAAAACTGCATATTTGTAAGAAACAAATCCATCATTAAGGCATTTGTAACTTTAAACCATTGCTTCTGGCTAAACTATGAGTCCTTTATACATAATATTGCTCTCTTCAGTGAAAAAGTGGTCTTATCTGAATCAGGAGAGAAATATGCACAGATCAAGCACTGTTTACAAGTGAAGTTATTATTATGTGGGTGTTACAGTGGAATATTAGTGGACTCCTGTTTTGTTCAGAAGTGATGCTTTAAAGTTAAAACATTTCGATGGATTTGTTTCTTAAAAACACGCAGTTTTTGGCTTCAGAAGACGTTAATTGATGGACTGGAGTCGTGTGGATTATTACCGGTATATGTGACCCTGGAGCACAAAACCATTCATAAGTAGCGCGAGTATATTTGTAGCAATATACATTGTATGGGTCAAAATGATCAGTTTTTATTTTATGCCAAAATTCATTAAGATATTAAGCAAAGATCATGTTCCATGAAGATATTTTGCGAATTTCCTACCGTAAGTATATAAAAACTTAATTTTTGATTAGTAATATGCATTGCTAAGAACTTCATTTGGACAACTTTAAAGGCGATTTTCTCAATATTTTGATTTTTTTTTTGCACCCTCAGATTCCAGATTTTCAAATATTTGCATCTCGGCCAAATATTGTCCGATCCTAACAAACCATACATCAATGGAAAGCTTATTTATTCAGCTTTACAGCTTTACAAAATTGACCCTCATGACTGGTTTTGTGGACACATATTACTTTTTCTTTCTTCACAGAAATGTTTGCAACCCATTCAGATGGAAAACTGAACAAAACTTTTACACATCTATAGTTTTATGATGATGATGATCCTGATCGCTGCATGATAAAAATCCCATGCAGCCATCTGAATTGTGTTTGAAACCAGTACATTTAGGATGCCAGATCTGCGTTTTCTATAGTGGAAGAGTATGGAACGACTCAGAATGGGCATCCGCTCCATAACCAACACTGCTAAAAATAGATGAGGTGCTGGAAAAGATCTGATTTTACACCTCAATAATAGCATATCATGACCTCTGAATGGCACATACACACAAACATGGTGAAATTCTCAAAGTCACACCTAAATATCTGTGACAGGTCATCTTCTGCCACACAAGCACACACACACACACACACACACACTCTCTTTCTTTCACAATAACTTTAGCTTTTAAACAAAATTGCAACAATGCTTTCATCCTTATTCTTTATCTGTCTTCCAGTCTAAATAAAGACTTTCAGTGAGACACAGGACAAAGGACTGCATTAGGATTATGTAAATAGATGAATAATATTAGCCTTTTGAACCAGCTCAATCGCTCAGTAAAAGATCAAGTGACTGTAAAATACTTCACTGACAGAGAGAAACAGATGAGGACCTTATACTCAAAACTCCAAGCTGCTTTATCTGGTTCCTGGAATAGACTGTGTACAGTATATTCACTTCAGAGGTGCTGTGGTTTTGCTGCGTGGAGACTGTATTTATATCAAAGTGGAACACCAGCGAGTTGAGATGCTAACGGTGGATCAGGGTGAGTATTATTGTGTGAAATAATGCCCACAGTTCGGTGACTCATGCATGATTCTCTTCTGTTTTGTCATGAGCGCTTACAGCAAACACAAATTTAACTGTAGGGTTGGATGACTACACTGCAAAGAAAAAAAAAATTATTTATCTTTGTCTTGTTTTTCAGTAAAAATATTTAAACATGCAGACATGTTTTTACTATTATTATTTTTTTTTTAATAAAGAAATCAATATTTTTATTTAGCATGGGTGTTTTTAAATTGATCAAAAGTGACTGAGAAGACATTTATAATGTTACAAAAGATTTCTAATAAATTCTGTTCTTTTGAACTTTTTTTCTACTCATCAAAGAATTCGTAAAAATGTATCACAGTTTCAACACTGATTATAATAAGTAATGTTACTTGAACACCAAATAAATATTAGAATAATTTACATGGTAGTGTATCTTTAATTATTGTTGTTTTGGATTTGTATTTTTTTAACAATTTGATTCAATTTGATTATATTTACGTTTTAAGTAAATGTTAGGCCTAGTGTTATTGTTATTTAGATGTTTAAATATTTAATGTTTAAATAGTTTTCCTGGAAAAGGATGAAAATTATGATAAAGTGATTATTTTTGTAGGATTTGTATCGATATTTCTCTTTTTTCCATCATGTGCTTTTACACTCAGTGATTTATTCATTCAACTTGTTTTTTTGTTTTTTTTTTGTATTATGTTGGTTATGCTGTGTATGTTAAACAAGTGCAGTGCTGTTTTCCTGGAAAAGGATGAAAATTATGATAAAGTGATTATTTTTGTAGGATTTGTATCGATATTTCTCTTTTTTCCATCATGTGCTTTTACACTCAGTGATTTATTCCTGTATTCAACTTGTTTTTTTGTTTTTTTTTTGTATTATGTTGGTCATGCTGTGTATGTTAAACAAGTGCAGTGCTGTGGAAAAGAATTTCCCCCTTGGGGACAATTTGTTGTTTTTTTAAATGTTCATTATTGGTACCTTCTATTCAACCCACTGATCCGTTTATTTATTTATTTTTTCTTTCTTTTCTGGAGAAAAACTTGAAAAGTTTTCAGTTTTCACATAAAGTCTCTCAGTGTGGTGACACTAGTCTTTATTTATTGCAAGGGCAAGTGGAAAGTGCTTTTCATTATGGCAGCTTATTTCAAGGGCAGGGAAATTGCTGTGCTAAATATATAACAAGAATATTGAGTTACATTCATAAATGAATGAAAGTGGCATGTTAGAGGAGAAAAGGGGCAGATAGTCGAACAATAACCGTCACATTAGCAGTCCGGGCCGACAACTGCCTCAAGGTGCCTTTTCAAATGACGACCATGTCAAGATGAATGAACAATAACCAGGCGAAGCTGTGAAAACATTTCAAAGGATAAACAGAGCAATATACTCATGTGGTTACCATGGCCATCTGTCCTGCATCACTGATTATGATTATTGGCAAAAAAAAAAACAGCTAATATCATCATGTTTAGTTGTTTTATACTCATTAAATTAACATTTGGTATTGCATCATTTACAGGGATGTGCAACATTCAAAATTAAGAGAGTCTATTACATTTTAGCAAACAAAAATTCTGAAGGAAAGTTTAAATAATGCATTTTATTTTCAGTATGAATTACTCATAAACAGGTTAACATACACTGCCGTTCAAAAGTTTTGCATCAGTACGATTTTTAATGTTTTTTTAAATGGAGTCTCTTGTGCTCATCAAGGCTGTATTTATTTGATCAAAAATACAGAAAGAAAACAGTAATATTGTGAAATATTATTGCAATTTCTAATATTGGTTTCCTATTTTAATATACTTTAAAATATAATTTATTTCTGTGACGCAGCATTGAATTTTCAGTATCATTACTCCAGTCTTCAGTGTCACATGATCCTTCAGAAATCAGTATAATATGCTCATTTATTATCAGCGTTGAAACTGTTGTGCTGCTTAATATAAAAAACTTTTGAACAGCAGTGTAAAAACAACATATTGGGGTATTTTTAAAAACACTGGATTATAAGTAATCAATGTGTGACAATATTGAAATCTATTTTAATGGTGTTAACTGCTTTCACATTATTAAACTGAAGTCCCCATGTCCTCCCATCCAGTAGAGGGCGCTGTTCTTATGTCTCTGGGTTGCAGACAGATGGACGGAGTCGTCCAAACTTCACATGAAAGTCATTTTCGGCCCTCACCAGTGCTTCTTCATCGATATAGACTGCCGCTCTTCTGGCAGTGAGGAAGTACTGCACTTTCCTGTGTCTCCAGCCTAACACATACATCAGGAGTCCACACACGGCCGCAGTGGAACGACCCACTCCTGCGTTACAGTGAACATACACTGTGTGACCGTTCTCCAGCAGTCCATAGAGCAAGAACACGGCCTGCGGCAGCATCTGTGTGCGACCTGCAGAGGGTAAAATTACAATACATATATCCAACAATAGAGGCTCTTTTTTAGTGTTAGTAGTCTACACATTAAAACAAATCAATGCCTGACCTTCTGTGCTCATGTCTGGAGTGGGGATCCAGATGTACGAAAGGCCACAGTCTTTGTACAGGTGTGTCATGGTCTCTGGGCTCATGGGTTGACTGAGGTCACGCCGGCAGCCATGTGAGTTGTTTACGACGTCCCATTCTGTCTGAAAGTTCATCACTGCTGTAACACCCAGTTCCTGTTTCAGCTTTAGGGTTACATGTTCGACCCGTCGAGGGCAGCTGCCCAACCAGACACGTGGCAGCACCCTAAGGAGAAGAGAGAGAGGAAACTTAGCAAACCAGTGACGGCCCATCAGAGGAGAAAAATGTATTGAATATAACAACTGAAGAGGTCAAATGTGCAAAAGTAAAAGTATTTTTAGTAGTCAAACATTATTTTGGTAACACTTTACTTAAAGCCTTTATGTATAGTGCATTAGTAGTTATTATTATTATAAAAGTTATTATTATAAAAGTGGCATAAATTATGCCTTGTAATGCACCTTATAATGCATTGTACAATCTCATAAATAATTGTAACCACAGTTAATACATTATAACACTTATCAATTAATTGTTATACTATGCATTTTAAATTTGGTTATAATTATTTACGACAAGATATAATGTATTACAACGCATATTATGAAAAATTGTAATGCATTATACCCTTTATAATGCATTATACATAAAGGCTTTAAGTAAAGTGTTACCATTATTTTTTATTGCATGGTAGACCAGAGATCATCTGTGTATAGGAGTGTACTGAGCAGCAAAAAAAACATAACAGTTAAACCGACTACAATTTTTTATTGGTTTGATCAATATTGTACTCTTCCCTGGAAAATTCCCTCATGTGCCCCCGGTGTAACATACGATCACCCGTGCTTAATAGTTATATCATGAGATCCCAGAGCAAGAAGGGGAAATAGATGTGGCAGTTTGATAGGGGAGATCATAAAACATATAGTTTATTTAAAAAAATAATAATGTTAACAGCTGCACTGACAGTGTTACTGCATAGTGATTTACTTTTTAGTGCCTTTTGCCATTGAAACAAACCCCTGACCCTTCGTATTCATCTTAGGACTGCAATGAAGGGGTAGATTTCCAGTCCCCTCCTCTTCTATTATATACTGAATACGTAACCATAGTTTTCTTAAAAAACAATGTATCTATTCTAGTTTTTATGTTACAAGCAATTTCTGTAATTAGTATCTGAGAGGTTGACTGAGAGTCTGACCCATGTCAGGAACGCAGTAGCAGTGTTTACTCATTTAGCACGACTTTCAGAGAATAAATACGTATTTGTTTTGGAATAATTAATCTGAATCATTATATAATCAAATGTTATATTGTATGGGAAAAAGTGTTATAAATTGGAACTTTTAACTATTCTGTGTGTCTGAGACATGTTAAAACCAACTGTGCCTTTAGGGCCAAGAAGGTCACTAACGCACCACATGTATCCAGCAACTCTTATGCACACTCTAAAAAATGCTGGGTTAAATACAACCCAGTGCTGGGTAAAATAGGGACAAATCCAGCAATTGGGCTGTTTTGACCCAGCGGTTGGGTTAAATGTTTAACCCAACCTTCTGGGTAGTAACCCAACCGCTGGGTCAAAACAACCCAATTGCTGGGTTTGTCCCTATTTTACCCAGCATTTTTTAGAGTGTATGTTTTATCAAATAGTGTATTTGCATATTGGTAGCATATTGGTCTCTCTATGGGCTTTAACTGTAATTCCCCTACAAAATTCATCCTGCACTGTTTGTCATATCATTTCAACGTGGGAAGTTGACTTGGGCAGAGCAATGGTTACAATGCTGTAGCAACAGCAAATAAACATTACTTAACTGCATAGAAAGGAAAGGAAAGGAAAGGAACATGTGACAGGACATACATGAAAGAATAAAACTAAATGAAACAAAACAAAACAAAAAAAAGACAGGACAAATGAATGGGAAAAGGAAAGTAAATAATGGGACAGAAAAAGACAAGACAAGGAACGGAAACGAAAGGAGAGGAGAAGAGAGGAGATCGTTTTAAATGTACATTTTCAGTGTCTATCGTTTCTGAGACAGCCATGTCAGCAGGGGTCTCTCCCTCTCTTTTGTAAGTGAGCTCCAGACTCAAATAATGGAAATGCTAATGAGTGTTTAGTGGTGTGAGGAGACAGACTGACAGCCAGGGGAATGAAGGCAGGAAGGTCAGAGACATCAGGTGAGAGATGTATTTTTACCTAAGAAACCCACATGCCTCTTTGAGGGAAAAGAATAAATGAGATGATTGAAGGGAAAGTGAATTTGCTGCAGGTTAATTAATGGTCTGAAGCATTGGGTGTGATCTATCCTCTGCCCAAAATCTTCTGCAGGGCACTTGGTTTGATGTCGAAGGCAATGACATGTATATATTTTTCGTCTGTGGCCTAAGTGTCCAAATGCTTTTTGGTGCTGCTGTACACGATGTGAGAGGTGTGTGCAATGCATTCCTTCTCTGTAAATGACTTGTTTGTGTGTGTGTGTGTGTCTGTGTGTGTGTGTATTTGAGAAGTGGGCACGTGTAGTGCATTTTAATTGAGCAAAGGTGACAAGTACAGGTTGTGTTTAATTAGTGGTCAAAGACCTAACAAGGTATACTTGATTCTGGAGGAAAAAAAAAAAGGTCCTTGTATTTTTCCTTGGGACTGGCATTCAACTGAGTTTATTTTACACTCTCCATTTGGTGTGAGTTAGACTTTAATACACACAGACACTGTTTTCTGAGTTTTACGGTTGTTAGTTTTTTTTATAGAGTCAATGAGAGACTTCTGTGGGAGTGAACAGTAGGAACATTGATTCATACTCTTTTGTAAATATAGAAAAATCTGACACAAGAAAGATTAGCTTTGTAGTTCATTTTTCTGTTGAGTTCTCAGTCCTGTCATTGAAGCTTTTGTAATTCCACAGTCCGTGACCAAGCCCTTCCTTCAAGCCTCGGTGAAAAAGACATGCACTTAATTATATTACGAGCACTTCAAATTGTATGTATATTAAATCATAAAAAAACTGTATTTTACAGTTAATAATATAATATATAATAATATATATACAGTAGATAATATAATATTAATTAAAATACACTTAAAATGAAATGCTTTTAAGACTGTTTCTTAACACTTAAGTGCACTTTTAAAAAATGCACTCTGTAATGTCAATTAAAAGTATTTAAAGTACATTTTAAATCTTTATGTTTTAATAATCTTTTGTCATTCTTTCAAGAAGTTCACTTATTTTGGCATGTTGACTAACATACTATAGCACATGTAAAGGACTTATAATTTTAACTGCAGTGTGTTATTTGATATTACACTTAAATTTAACATATTCTATCCCCCGGTTTCACAGACAAGGCTTAAGCTAGTCTCAGACTAAAATACATGTTTGAGCTGTCTCAACTGAAAATACCTTGCTCTGACATATACAATATATATAATATTAAATATATGACATACTATACAGGTTTTAAAAGCAATTATAAAACAATGTATTTAAGTTTACATATTAATAACATATTACATGTAAAGATGTAAGTGGATCAAAAACCACTAAAAATTTCAGCTAATAGCTTTTAATATAATTTTTAACCTCAATACATTTTTATTTAACTGCAATTAACATGCAATTAAGTGTGCAAACATTACATTTAGTTTGCTAAAGTACATTCTTTTGAAGTATATTGTTTAGAAATATGGTTAAGTGTACTTTTTTTTTTAGCAAGTTAAATATACCTACTTTTACCATTATTAATGGCAGGATGGGCAAGTGAACTCATGGACATTAGATCTGGATGACTACTGGATGACTTTGTGTCCAACAGTCACTGGATTTGCTGGCACACAGCTTTATTATTGTGATTTCAATTGACCAGCACCTGAATCTCATTTCAGACATCAAACATCCACTTTCTGTTTAATTTATCATTTTTGACAGCATATGCACATTTTTGAAAGAATTTTAGTTTAATTTTTGAAAGAATATGCAGGCTTGAGATATCAATTAAATCAGACTCCCCAGCAATACCTGAAAAATATATATATATCGCCATTTACTAATTGTGATTTCAAATCTGCATAACATGTACAGTCCGATTTTCACTATCAAAGTCGGTCAAGCTCTTTAAGGTCAGAAAGGGCTCCAGGAAATATATGACTACTGCAGTAATCAAATTAATGGCAAAGAACAACATTTTCAGTAAACAACAGCTTCAATTTGGTCTGTTCCTCACTTAAAGCTCTTAAATGACTAGAAGACAAGTTTGGATATTCTGCTAAACATCTTTTGTGTTTAAACAGAGCAGAGAAAGCCATACAGGTTTGGGACACAAAGGTGAGTAAATGTTTTTTGGGTGAACTTTTCCTTTTGGGAAGTACTGACACTGACACTCACCTGATTAGTCTTTCTGTGTTTTCCACAATTTATACTCTTTATTGAGATGACTGTGCATTCTGTCTTAAGAAGACATAACATCTCTGCCCTCTTGGAGTTACACCAGCCTCTTTGACTCTGTAAATCTGCCATTACTCTAATGGATTCCTCTACACCAGACTCAATGACCCAGACTTTTTTATCCACCTCCACTTTCAAATTTTGCCATTAGAACAAGGTCAGAGGTCAAACGAAACAAGCACTTTAATGGATTCCTCTACACCAGACTCAATGACCCAGACTTTTTTATCCACCTCCACTTTCAAATTTTGCCGTTAGAACAAGAGCACTTAGCACTCAGAGCTCATTGCCAAAGGAGTTGAGAGATTTAGAGTCATTGAGCGAATTACAGAGCACTGTTGAAACCACACACACAATTAACAAGAGAGGGAAAAAGAAAAGAAAATCAAATGCTTCTGGGTAATTAGATGTTACTATCTGTAAGATTTAAGAGTTGGCAAATGTTTCAAGTTAAATTGAATTTATCTTTAATCTGTTGTTCGCTGAGACACTTTACTCTGATTCAGAAGTTTTCCTTTTTAATAGGACTTGTGTGTCTGCTTGTGTTTCTGAATTATGAGGGATCTTTGGCTGCTAGGTTAATAGGGTTTTTGTTGGTTACTATGTGGTTTCTTATCAATGTAAAATCAATGTAAAACCATTTTCAAACTTCAAATATTTTAGTGCACCTGACATTACAATCGGATTTGAAAATTCTGCACAGGCAAACAGACGTAATTTTATCATCTGCGGAGAGAAAATCTTTTCTCTTCGCATCTCTTAGATAAGTAACAGCCTTTACGAGCCACAAAGTTTGAGATATCTTTAAATCTTTCCCTGCCATT